CCCCAAAACCCCAAAACCCCAAAACCCCAAAACCCCATTCTAAGATCAGAAAATTGAAAAAAATCTATTGAAATTAATTGTACAAAATTTGAATAATTCATAAATACAGGTGAAATAGACATTATGTTCGTTTAGGAGAATTTAGCCTAAATAATCAATATGGATTGGCAATTAACTTTTCTAAATTTTATTAGGTTCAAATAAACTTCCTCATTATAGATTCATGATTAATTCTTGCTTAAAAGTGTCACAGCAAGTTACTAATCTTTTTTCTCAATGATGTTCTTTGCCAGGGTCTAAATGAATGAGTTTAGCTCACTTACCTTGTGTATATAGATGAAATCGGATCTTTGAAAGTTTTTCTGAGCTGAAAAATTCAAATTGAAAGTGTACGTAGAAGGAGGCAATTTAGTCCAGCGTTGCCATGTAACTGTAATATGAACAGGAATAAGCCCTAAAGATAAAGGAAATAGGCTTACCATAGTAAGTGTATTCAGGAAATTGAGAATAGGCTTTTTTGATAGTGGTTGTGAATGGAGCATATTTCATTTGACGAGTACGAGGAGGATCATCAATCTTGAAATAGATGTTTTGGATTAGTGAATTTTCATTAATTTTCGAGTCTTTTAGACAAATGTATAGTCTAGCTTCTCTTTCGAAGATGCTTTTACCAGTGACATTGGGAGTGTGTAGAGTATAACCATAGTCAAAATGAATCTTAATGCTGTTCCTGATCTCTTTGAGCCTTCTAAGTTCTGCTAAATAGGTATAATGTATTCCTTTTCTTGATTCAACATTTTCAGGATACTTCTCTTGAATAATCTCCCATAACTTCTTAATCACAGGTGGATTAAATTTCTCCATGACTAACTCAGTTCTTCACACAGGACATGACTTCTCCTCTTCTTGCTCAAGATGTGTATGAATTCACTTGCTTCAGTATATATGCTTGCACTTTGTACTGACTGGATAGATCAGGACTTCAGAGCAGATAGGGCAAATGTGGTCTTCAGGGATTGATTCCATTTAAAATTGGTAAGTAGTTTCAGAATTTTGGGGCTTAAGTGGGGTTTTGGGGTTTTGGGGTTTTGGGG